GCAAAAAATGTCCTTGCCACTTCATTTAGTGGAACATAGATTAATATATGCTGCTCTTTAAAACGGTCTCCATATTATCACCGGCCCATAGATCATTTTGTACATATGGTTTTATTTTTTAATTGTGGTGATGACGACGATGGACCTGTGCTGTACTATAAAGAGAGCAAGATACACTGGATGTTATGTGAAACCCCGCCCTCCAGTGGTGAACAAAAACCACTAAGCCCCAGTTCTGGCACCAACCAACAAGCTTCATTATCCTTTCTAATGGATTCGTGGTCTAAAGTGGAGCATTTTAAGGGGATGCAAACGACACACTGGAATGACAAGACAAGCACTTTGATACAACCGCATCAGCTCAACGGACTATTTAGTAGCCAAGGACAAACAAGAAGTTGCACAAACCTTCCTCTCAGAGAACAAAAAAGCAGGAGGACATTCACAGAACCTGTTACTTGTTGTACTGTATGTTTTGTCAGGCGATATGTTAACACAAAGGACAAACACACACTTAGCCGAGCTGGCCTTCTCCGCTACCCTTCAGGCACCAACAGAACAGAGGAAATAACCGAAAGACAGACCGCTTTAGCTCTAATGTGCATAGAGTGTATATGACCATGTTGAAGTGAGGTGACTTTTAATGACAAACATGTTGCTTGCTGTGACTTTCATTGGTGTAACTGTTAACCCTTTGTTTCTGTCAGAGTTCCCAGGGTAGCTATTGTACAGCCCCGTTATCTGTCTTTTAGTTATTTCTGATGGATGACCCTAGCAATTCTTTTAAATTGGTTTTACATCTTCAAATTGCACGAACAATGGATAATTTTAGTTTGTGTCCTTTTTTTTTTTATTTGATACTTCTTGTACTTTGGTCAGAACTAAGTGGTGAGCAAACAAATTTTCATTGTCAATAATAAAAAAAAAAACTGTCTTCATTTTTCATTCACAGATCAAAATGGCTCAATGGTGGTAAACAGATGTAGCTCAATTCTGTTCAGTAATTGACTCTTTAAAGCCTACTTCCATATGGTCTAACATTATTATCCAAATTATACGCAAACAGATTTCAATATTACACTGTAACATTACCCCTGCTTTGTGGATTTGCCACAGTGATGTAAAATGTCTAGTTTTAGTTGCAGCATGGCGTCTATGGTGTGAACATGCTTCCTCAAACCTTGCAGGGAGTGACTATGGTTCAAATGTATCCAACCTCAGTTCTTAATGTCGGCTGAGTTCAGGCTCCTGGAGCTCTCAGAGCGGTTTCCACCTCCCTCTCCACGTCTTTGAACACTTCTGGGTTCTCGATGGTTGGAGAAATCTTTGGCAAAAAGAACTTGCTTTGTAGTTCTACTGTTAAATTAGTACAAACCTAATTTCAAAACAAATGAACCTAGCTCAGCCTGATAACTGGTGCTGCATTAGTGAAACTATTGAATTAAAAGAGTAGTTTACATTATATACAGTGCCTTGCGAAAGTATTTGGCCCCCTTGAACTTTGCGACCTTTTGCCACATTTCAGGCTTCAAACATAAAGATATAAAACTGTAATTTTTTGTGAAGAATCAACAACAAGTGGGACACAATCATGAAGTGGAACGAAATTTATTGGATATTTCAAACTTTTCTAACAAATAAAAAACTGAAAAATTGGGCGTGCAAAATTATTCAGCCCCCTTAAGTTAATACTTTGTAGCGCCACCTTTTGCTGCGATTACAGCTGTAAGTCACTTGGGGTATGTCTCTATCAGTTTTGCACATCAAGAGACTGAAATTTTTGCCCATTCCGCCTTGCAAAACAGCTCGAGCTCAGTGAGGTTGGATAGAGAGCGTTTGTGAACAGCAGTTTTCAGTTCTTCCCACAGATTCTCGATTGGATTCAGGTCTGGACTTTGACTTGGCCATTCTAACACCTGGATATGTTTATTTGTGAACCATTCCATTGTAGATTTTGCTTTATGTTTTGGATCATTGTCTTGTTGGAAGACAAATCTCCATCCCAGTCTCAGGTCTTTTGCAGACTCCATCAGGTTTCCTTCCAAAATGGTCCTGTATTTGGCTCCATCCATCTTCCCATCAATTTTAACCATCTTCCCTGTCCCTGCTGAAGAAAAGCAGGCCCAAACCATGATGCTGCCACCACCATGTTTGACAGTGGGGATGGTGTGTTCAAGGTGATGAGCTGTGTTGCTTTTACGCCAAACATAACGTTTTGCATTGTTGCCAAAAAGTTCGATTTTGGTTTCATCTGACCAGAGCACCTTCTTCCACATGTTTGGTGCGTCTCCCAGGTGGCTTGTGGCAAACTTTAAACGACACTTTTTATGGATATCTTTAAGAAATGGCTTTCTTCTTGCCACTCTTCCATAAAGGCCAGATTTGTGCAGTATACGACTGATTGTTGTCCTATGGACAGAGTCTCCCACCTCAGCTGTAGATCTCTGCAGTTCATCCAGAGTGATCATGGGCCTCTTGGCTGCATCTCTGATCAGTCTTCTCCTTGTATGAGCTGAAAGTTTAGAGGGACGGCCAGGTCTTGGTAGATTTGCAGTGGTCTGATACTCCTTCCATTTCAATATTATCACTTGCACAGTGCTCCTTGGGATGTTTAAAGCTTGGGAAATCTTTTTGTATCCAAATCCGGCTTTAAACTTCTCCACAACAGTATCTCGGACCTGCCTGGTGTGTTCCTTGTTCTTCATGATGCTCTCTGCGCTTTAAACGGACCTCTGAGACTATCACAGTGCAGGTGCATTTATACGGAGACTTGATTACACACAGGTGGATTCTATTTATCATCATTAGTCATTTAGGTCAACATTGGATCATTCAGAGATCCTCACTGAACTTCTGGAGAGAGTTTGCTGCACTGAAAGTAAAGGGGCTGAATAATTTTGCACGCCCAATTATTCAGTTTTTTATTTGTTAAAAAAGTTTGAAATATCCAATAAATTTCGTTCCACTTCATGATTGTGTCCCACTTGTTGTTGATTCTTCACAAAAAATTACAGTTTTATATCTTTATGTTTGAAGCCTGAAATGTGGCAAAAGGTCGCAAAGTTCAAGGGGGCCGAATACTTTCGCAAGGCACTGTATATGTATATATATATATAGTGCCACATGTGCAGAATATTTGGAGGCTTTAAGACCGTCTTCATAAACAGAACTACTGTTTCTCAGTTCGTCATCCTGTTCTCTCCTGGGGCCTCTAGCACCTGATCACCATGAAAATTGAGTCAGTAACTATAAAGAGATGAAATCCCAAATGAACTTTCAGTTCTATTTAATGACTTCAGTGCCTGCTAATGCACCATTTTAACTCGATTTCAGAATGAGCTCTTCTGTCTTCTGATTGGCTGGAAATCTTTGCACAAACAAATCTATATTTGTCCACAGTGATGGGAGAGTTGTGCCGTACCTTGTAAGGCTTGCCGTTGACCAGGCTGGCCAAACAGGCACGAGGAATTTTGCCAGAGCGCGTCTTTGGTAACGCTTGGACAAAGAGCACCTTCCTGAAAGCAGCAACGGGTCCGATAGTGTCTCTCAGGATCTTCACCATCTCATTTACGATCTGTTCGTTTTTCTCTATACCTGAGAAACATATAAAGCCATCCAGGCACTCGATGCAACCAAGTGATTCAGTCATTTTCATGGAGTTTAACTATCATTGTGGTCTTAATTTGAAAACTCAACAAAAATATAATTATAGTAGTTAAGCCCAATATTATGTGTAAAACTTGAACGTGTGGAAGTTATCTTATATCAGTTAAGAGGATAACAAATTCTGAGGGTGAATTACAAAAGTGATACTAAGATCAGTATCAGACACTGATTGGTGTTATTTTATTACATTTAAACTACACTATGCCCACTATCATGTCTCACCATTCTTGAGTACACACAAGGCCAAGGGCACATGACCCTTCAGAGTGTCCTCGAGACCCACCACAGCACAGTCACCCACTGCAGGGTGCAGCAGCACACACTGTATAAAACACAGAAACATGCATAAAAATTACACAGAAAAGTTGGGAAACCTTTGAACCAACTCCATCGTCATCTGTTTTCTACCTCCTCCAATGCTCCAGCAGACAACCTGTGACCTGCCACGTTGATGACATCATCAGACCGGGACATGATATAAAGGAAGCCCTCCTCATCCACAAAACCTGCATCCATGGTATTGTAGTAGCCCTGGCGGTCAAAGGGGGAGAAAAATGTGCTGGCATTACATTAAAACGTACCTGGAGCAGATCGATCCAATTTAAATATAAGGTTGTAGTTCAGTTTAAACATTTATTTTGATGTCATTCTCACATGCACTCACCGGCTGCTTTAGTAGGTATACCTGTACAAATGTATGCACTTGTGCCCTAACCGTGTATGAAGCCGTTTCAGTTTTTGATTACATTGCCATAAATGTATAAATTCAATTATGTTTATTATTGAGGTCATAGTTAAAAAAGCTGGACTACATCATATTCAGAGGTATCGCTATATTTTTGTCCTCCCCAGCTACATACATGACAGGGTCAGAATATTAGGAACACCTCTGATTTTAATGTAGTCCAGTACAACACCACCTTTAACTATGACCTCAATAATAAACATATAGCTGAATTTATACTATGACAGTTTCACCAAAAACATTAAATGTTTTGAGCTTCACATACACAAATATTAAGATGAAGTGTTGCATTGAATTGCATACAAATGTACAGGTGTGCCTAATAAAGTGGCGGGTGAGTATATATGTGTGTGTGTGTAAATTTGACATAAAACAACCCATCTTAAGTTGAAGGACCCCACTGACTGAGCACCATGTGAACTTTTTTTGCCAGTATTCTCATGTCTGTTTTTCATTCCAACCTCTCAATGATCTTCAAGCGGCTGCAGACGACAGTCGAGTGGTTCTGTGATGACAGATTTCACCACTAGAGGGCCACCTTTTACCACACATTCATCTATACCCACTGCTATATTATTGATCCAGTGTCTTAAAGATTCAAATACGACTGTTTCTAGATAAAATTTAAACTGTTCCTGTTATTAAAACCAGCTGAGGTTACTACTGCGCAAGTCATTTTACATGACAGATACTGGAGTGTTCGGAAATGACAACACAACCTACAGGGAACTTAGTGAAGTAGAGTTCCTTGAACAGCTCCTTATTCTGCCAGAGAGACAATGCTGCACCGGGTGGTAGAGGTAGTCTGAAGGGAAGAAAGCACAAACTTAATTTTGTTTAGAGGCACAAGTTTCATTGCTCTATAAAACTACAATGAATCTAAGACTCTTAAAAGATGACAAAGCATGACTAATCACAAAATGATTGGCAGGTTGACTTTACTTGATAAAGCCATAAGGATGTGTTACGATAGCTGTTCCTTTGTTTTGCTTCATGGCAGCTGGTCTAGACAGATTCTGCTAGACTTCACCTCATCTAACCCACACAGATATGGCACCCGAACAGTCGCTCACAGAGCAAACAGGGTAGCGAGGTCATTCAGTCTTTGTTTATCCACAGACTAAAAGTAATTCTCCCTCCAGTGTCTTGCCCAAGATGCTCCCACATCCCAAGTCCAAGCCCTAAACGTGCCTCTGTATTCATTATTTTATAAAATCAACCACAATAATATTTCCGATGCTGAATTAGTCCTGGAAGGTGATAAAACCCTTTGTTTGTGAATGCAACTAAATCATCACTTATCATTCTAAAACAAATTAAAGACACAACATAAGTCCATATGACTTGACATTCAAACATACTGTATGGCGCTGAAGAGCTGTAACACATTACGTTGCACGTCCTCTGTTCCAGCCTCACTCTTATGAAGCTGTGGATATAGCTTTTGATAAAAGCACAGGGCTGGCACAAACTATGTGGTGACTGGCTCCTTCCTTGAATGCAGGCTACACGAGGATTGTATGGAAATTACCCTTGTTGGCAGTGAGTCAATAGCAGCAGTAACAAAGAACAGGGAAATGGAGTTGGAGAGCGATAACAGATCAGTAGCAGGCAGGAAGATAAGGCAGGACAAAGGGCTTAGAGGGTGACTGCTGGAGCTACTGATGGAGTCCACTTTGCACCGGCAGCTCTCTTATATATACACACTTCCTTCTCTGACCTCAGCAAAACATAAAAGGATTGAGGTCTGGAGTGTGACACAGCTACCCAACAGTGAATTAGAAAGATTAATGACTGGAGGTTTCGTGTGCAAAGCGCTTTACGTCTGTCGCATATTTAATGTGTGTGCATGCGCAGGTAACAAAAGAATGTAAAGCAGCAACTAAGCTGCTCACAGGACTGTGAACATATGCACTCAGCTTACCTCACCACAATATTTCCCAGGGTTCTTGGTTTCACCTCCTGCATGTCATCACTGATCACTGCGACTAGTGGAAAGAGAAGAGCATGCAATTCACATTCAGAGGTGGTGTATCATCTACTGGCAAATGGGAAGAGCAAAAGTCTTAAATCCTCAGCAGAGAATGACAAGTGGTTTGATTCTTTTTTCCATTTCTTTCATTCTACCTATATATGTAACAGGGGCAGCAAGTATGAAAATACATATTAATACACAGTGAAGGCTGGCTGTTTAAAGTGCAGCTAGGAATGGGGGTAAATCCTAATTCCCTTATTTGCTCAACCTGAACAACTCATTTGCTGACACACCCCTTTATCGGAAATCAGCTTGTGATTGGACGCTTCAGATAAAGGACATCTCATGTCTTAAAGTTTCCTCAGCTCCTCTCTACTCACATTTTTCCTTGCAGCTTGTCCACACATCCTTATATAGGCAGGACGAAGACAAGGAAAAGACAAGTGAAGAGAACTGAGATTAACCCATGGACTGACTGACTCTTACCATTGTAACCTGGAACGGGTTTCCCAGCCTGACCCGCAGGTGGTGTGAGGGAGTTCCCTAGACCGATACATGAGCTGGTGATGGCTGAGCCGGTTTCTGATGAGAAAGCCACACAGACAAAAAGGTTCATGTCAACTCATCTGTGTGGGAGACCTCTGAAGGTTTACCCAAAACACAGAAGCCTGGAGACCGAGGTGCAGCACAACATAATGGTTTTCTGGGGTTTTTTTGCTAAAGATTCTGATGGTGGGCTGATCAGAGCTCATCTGTAAGCAGCATTAACCTACATTACACAAAACTATGACAGCTCCTATGGGCTCTCCCTGACTCCAACACCCAATTTTGCTCCACTTACAGCAAAGACTTGCCTATTTGTCAGCCCCACTTGTCCACCCAGAGAATGAATTACAGAACAGATCCACCACAGTAAGACAGATTACATCAAACCAGCACTTCTCATCTACAGTGCCTATAAAAAGTACTCACTTGGATGTGTTACCCTTTTATTGATTCAATCACAGCACTGGGTCTGTGTGAATAGGTCCCAATCAGGCTTGCACATCTGGGCACTACAATTTTACTCCATTCTTTTTTGCAAAACTGCTCAAGCTCTGCTAGCTTGCATGGGGATCAGGCGTGAACTGCCCTTTTTCAAGTCCAGCCACAAATTCTCTATCGGACTGAGGTCTGGTCTTTGACTCGGCCGCTCCAGAAAACTGGACACTGTAATTTTCCTGTGTTCTTCTTTGCAAAACTGCTGAAGCTCTGCCAGGTTGTGTAGAGATCAGGCATGAACAGCCATTTTCAAGTCCAGCCACAAATTCTCTGTTAGATTGAGGTCTGGGCTTTGACTCGGCCACTCCAGAACACTCACCTCGTCTTTAAACCATTTCGGCTTCTCAGCATAAATACAAGAACTAAGATGCAGCTGAATGCTTCCACCTATCTGTCTGCTTAAACGATTCAGCTCAGATCTCTTTTCACTGTCTTATGGACCTCCATTTACTGTTCAATTAAACTTCAATATGTTACAGCATTTCAGAAACAGAGAGCCCATACCAATATAGTTTACAGAGAACAGTAAGTCATCTGAGATGCTGCCATTTTTCTTCATAATATGTGAATTATACACAACTAAGATTATGCATAACTCAGATAATCTAAAATAATGTTTGTCCTGTATTGTTTCTAGGTTATATCAACCAAGAGTGTCATGCATTTTCCCCTGTCCATATGCAAATGAGTGCAGCCCTAAAACAGAATTATTAACTGCACAGAGGTGAGTGCCTTTCAATTGTGTATTCTAATACAGTCGGTTGCACTTCCGATGGCTGAAATGTCAAGTCCTGTGCAAAACATTCAAGCTAAGATGAAATGACAGCTTAGTTAATGTGACTGATGCAGAAGCTACAGCCAAAAAAAAAAAAAAAAAAAAATGAATTCCTTCACCAGGGTTGCACACCCATCATCAGTTTCAAGCAGAAAGACTGGGCTTTAGTGACAGCGTGGCCACCAAACCTGCAGAGTTGTTTAAGAAGAAGGAAGAGCAAGATGTTCAGATCATAGTGCTTCTTTGAAAGACACTAGAAAACTAATGGGACATGAGGCTAATGTGGACCAAACCAAAATCTCCAGCATCTTGCTGAGCTACTGGTTCTCAAGAATAAAGTGGATCTCTACTACCAATCAGACAAGTGCAAATGACTACAAGCCTCAGCACAGCGGGCTTCAAAGGCATGGGCCCAAGGGGAGAAGGTTGCTGTTGGTTGAGGAGGGGATTAAATTATCAGATGAAGAGACAGAGGAGGGAGGAGGGCAGTCTAGAGCTGAACATCTCACCCAGCTACAGCAGCTCTGAACCACATACGCCTCATTCAGTGACAGATTAGCCACTCCCTGCAGGTTTCAGAGCTCCTTCAACAGAGATGGCACTCATCACAAAAGATAAAAATGATTTTTTATTTTGACTGCCCACCTATTCAGAGGGTCACAACAGAGTGGTGACAGACAACCTGTTGATGAATCCCCCCCCTCCCTCAGGTGTGTAGCGATGTCATGCCACTTTTATTTTATGCAAAAATAAGAGCAGATCAAATAGAATTACACCATAACTATGTAACCAATCTGCATCACACTGAAACTAGATGACAGTTATCAAGTTTTAATAATGAGCTAATATTGAAAAAAAAAAACAAATAAAAACAGTATTTCAGTCTAACCCTGAAGAAAGCTCTACTGAACTACCAGTCAATTAGGGCTCAACACAACCACTGAACCGTGCCAGCGTGAGTGTTTACACACAAGTGATTTAGGCCAAAAGAATAAATTTACCCCCCCCAAAAAAGACAGTACAACTGGACCTTGACATTCTACAAGGCAGGGACCTGGCTGTGCTCCCTTCAAAGATATTTCAATGATAATTAGTCGTCTCACTAAAATACTGCATCCAAACATCTACATGATGAATGGTAAGTTGGCAGAACTCACACTAAAAACAGACTCGGATGTTTACCAAGAACAGCTAAGGCTCCTTCCTCAGTCCACAACATGAAGGCATAAAAGATCATAGCACAGCAGTTGCCTATTTACATTTCTACATGCAGACAGAACAAATACAAAGTCTCCTCAGTCCATGTAAGAAAGGGTCAAGATGAAAACTTCCCTGACATCCCTTCCACTGCTTCTGTTCTGGTCACACTGTGCAGAGGAGATTAAATATGCTGGACAGACAGCACAGGCTGACATTGACACAGGTGAGTGAATGCTAGAGGGGAGTGAAAACCGTCTGCGGGCTGCAGTCGACCACACACGTACTCGAGCTGTGTGGCTGTGCATCTGCTTGTCTGACTGGTGGCGAGAGACACACACACACACACCTCTGCATCAGTATTCCTTTAACTTTTCTTTTTTGTGGCTCCCTTTGTACACACACACACACACACACACACACACACACACACACACAAAGGTTGACAATGTTGATGTATTCTGAATGTGATACGAGATAAAGGATGGGAGGGTTGTTGGAGGATGGGCCATATGGTGGTGCCTTTTTAGCTGAGAAGGTGATTTCAAACAGCCATGCTCATTACTAGTTGCTTGGAGGGGAAGTGCTGCTCAGGAAAAATAAAGCACAGCTCTGATTCTGCACCATCTTTTCTCTCTGGGACTCCTTAAGCTCTCCACTTCTTTCAAAACAGATTAAACAATGCAACCATGCTACTCTGTCTGTAAGGGCCTGCATGAAAGCTACATAATACTGGGGAAAGGGTGACAATGGGATTAATCAATGTGAAACTTGTAGAGGCAGGAGAGAGCAGCACACTCGTACTTCAAGTGCAATATTTTGAATCACTGACTTAAAGTTAAATAGATGACATCAGCTGTGAGTGGGCTTCACTATCTTCCTTTCCCCCCCTGCAAACTAGGGGGAGTGTTTCCAATCAGTTCTTCAGAATAAGGAAGATAGCAGTGGAGGTATTCTCTATACTAAATCTAGAAATTAGCATTTCCTAGTTTCCTGTTACATTCAGTGTGCTGAGCTACAAGCCAAAATACCACAGAAACATGTCACTGTCCAAATATGTATAGCTCAAAGGCAGAACTGAGAGTGGATGTAATGCTGGAGTCGTGCTTATGGTGGTCAGCGGTTTGGGGAGGCTTCCAAGGAATCCGGGCTTGGCGGATCCCCGATAGGGAATAAAGACCATAGAGAATGGGAGCTGGAAAATAGAGGGCAGGGAGGGAGGGTTTTGAGAAGAAACAAAAGTGGTTTGGTCAGGAATACGGAAGTATTTATACACGGTTTGTTGGGAGGTGTGTATTTTAGGAGCGTGAACTGCCTGTGAACCTCTGATTAATAATCGACGTCTAAAAGAACAATCAGCTTTGACGGGGGCTCATTCAGCTGCCACGATAAATGAGATGGTGTTGCCGACACCCGTCGCCTGATGGCTCCTCCTCCTGAAGATCAACAGGAACGATAACACAAACAAGCAGCACTTGTCATTTAAATGTGCCACATACAACAACCCTTGGATTCTGTACATCTCATAAGTGCACAACAGTGCTTGTGGCGTTCCTGGCACACTTGGTCAGGAGCTAATCAGTCGACCCCAGGTCATTCAAAAAACTGTTGTAGGGGGATAAGAACAGACTCCAAGCCCTTTGGCCAGACACATTTCTTTTTTCCTCATTGTTTTCTTTTATAATACATGATACAGTTTTGCTCACTTGAAACACAATATGAAAATGTCTGTGAAAATTGGAAACAACAATGAACTACATAAATGCATAAAACAAAACATGTCTAGCGTTAATACAGGCGGTGTTCTTTTCCCCCCACTTTTCCCTCTAAGAAATTGGGTCCAAGAATGAGTGTAAACCAAATCGTACTACAAACCTGTGTAATTATTTTTGCTAGGATTCTGTGTTAGACAATACAGCTTAGGCTACTTTGACTAAAACCACCACTGGCACTGCTGAGAAGTCAAACACAGCTGGAAAGCAAAGGGTTGGTCAACCAAGTCTTCCACTGGGGCTGAATGTTAAAAAGAAAGATAACGAGAAAAAAAAAAAGTCGAGTGTGTCGTGGGAATCCGATCATCATCAGCAGCGCCCATGAAAGGTTGGTGACGCCACACAGCAAAGACGTGAACTCAAGTACCCTGTGCACACATCTGCAGCGCTTTCCCATCAAAAACTCGTTCTTCGCAGGACAATTTCATCCCATCAGCTAAAAACATGGCCTCCCTCATCACTTTGCAGACAGCTCGGCTGCATTTATGCTACAGTGGCTACAACAGTTAGGAAGGAATGCCAGATGAATTCCTGGGTTAGAGAGCTTAGGACAGTAAACAAGGAGGTACTGTAACACAAACGGGGCTTCTTGGCTTTCAGAGATGTAATTACAACAGCCGTGAAATATTTGCTACCGTGTCTGCAACAATGTACTGACGCCAAGTAACTAACAGCAGCTTCTTGGTGTCAAAGGCGTAAAGCCAAGACTTGAGGGACTGGTGTATGTGCAGAAAGTGGTGGGAAGGAAGCATCAATACAAAGAAGGAAATATGCTGGTTTTATACAATTCTAGATTA